CTTGCCCCCTACGACCCTTTCCCCACCACCTTCCAGCCCCCTGTAAACCTTTCCCTGCTGCTTATTCCTGGTCCCAAAAATCAATGCCTCGGAGTTGAGGTTTTTGTGTTGGCAACCTCCCCGCCCCCAACCTCCAGCACTAATTACTGTATTGGTCTGCTATTATTGCAAAAACAATTCACCCCAAAACTCAGTACCTTAAAACAACAATTATTTATTCTCACTCGTGTGTCTGAAGTCAACAGTGGGGTGGCTGATTTAAGCTGAGCTCAAGTGGGCAACTCTGCTTCAAGCTGTGGGTCCCTCTGGGCTTGGCTCCTCGTTACAGGTTGGGCTCAGGTCTGCCCATGTGTTTTCATTCTGCACCTGGCCGAAGGGACAGGAGCGACCCAGGGGAAACTCTTCTCAGGAAATACAGAGGTGCAAGAGATCAAGTTGCACTGTGCGAGCACATTTCTCGTTTTTGCTTCTATCCTCTACTTTCATATCCCGCGGGCCACAGCAAGTCATGTGGCTGAGCCCACAGTCAAGGGGAAGGAAAGAACACTCCCTTTCTAGTGAGGGCAACTGCAGAGTCACCTGGTAAAACGGTAAGGGAGGGGTGAAGAATAGGGCCAAGCTCTCAATATATTGCCATTACTCTGTATCCTAGAATGAGAAGAATTTGGAGGGGCCCATCGGGAGAGGGGGTGAAGAGCAAGAATGAAAGACTAGAGAAGCCAGCAAGATGGTGAGATCCCAGGGGGATCTGTGGCGTGGCCGGTGAGAAATCTCTGATGCAGGAAGCATGAAAGCTCACTTAAGATAAAGGATATTTAATATGAGCATTTAAGGAGCTTTTGGCTTGGATACTTGTGATGCTCACCCACCTCTGGCATCCTGGTCTTTCAATAAAGGCTGTTATACCCACAGCAGCCCTGCAGGAGTGGTGTGTGTGTGTGTGTGTGTGTGTGTGTGTGTGTGTGTGTGTACATCAAAGGAACGGTCAAGTTCCTCTAGAGACAGTGAGGTCCAGGGACAGAAAGAGAATAAATTCAGCGTAAGCTGGCACTTCGATCCAGGGGTTACTAGTGAGAAGTATACCCTGGTTACTTGCAGACATCTTGGTGGCACACTGAGCTCTCCTCATGAGAAGAGGTGGTGCTTTTCCCGCCGATCATATTTGTATTTAAAGGGTCAGGAGGCGAGCTGAAATCTAGTTTATAACTGGGAAGATCAAACCCACACCCCTGCCCTTCTGCCTGGGATTTTAACTCTTCCCCACCCAGCATCCTCTCTGGCCCCAAAGTGTTCTACCTTAATCCTTCCCTTGATGGAGAAGTCTTCCTTTCCAGCTCCGTCCTGCCTCCTGTAGGTCTCCCCCCTTCCCTGTGGACCACCAACTCAGCTCCTCCACCTTCCTGGCAGCAGGTGGCAGACACCTTGCCAGATACACCTCTCTAGCTGTGTGGGTGGCCTGCCCTCACCCATGTTGTTCTCCATCCTGCTGATTTTTCAATAGCTTTCATTCATTAGTATAGTAGGCAGAATAATAGCTCCCTAAAGATGTCTATGTCCAAATCCTCAGAACCTGTGAATATGTTACTTTACATGGAAAAAGGGACTTTGCAGATGTGATTTAAGGTTGAAGACCCAGAGGTAGGAAGATTATCCTGAATTATCTGGGTGGACCTGATTTAATCACACGCGTCCTTAAAAGCGAAAAACCTTTCCTGCTTGGGTCTGAGATGAGATGGAAGAAGAAAAAGGAGAGATTTGCCGCATTTAGAGGGGTCTCAAACTGCTTTTGCTAGTTTTGAAGATGGGGGAAGGCAGCCACAAGCCAAGGAATGTGGGTGGCCTCCAGAAACTAGAAATGGTCCTTGGCTGACAGCCAGCAAGGAAACTGTCAGTCCCATAACCTGCAAGGAATTGAATCCCACCAACAACCCGAGTGAGCAAGGAAATGGGTTTTCCCCTTGAACTTCTCTAGGAAGGGCAAGATCCACGTCAGACTTTTGACCTACACCCTCTTTCTACAGGATGGCTCTACAGAACTGTAAAATAATAAATTTGTGCTGTGTAAGCTGTTACATTCACAGTAATTTGTGGTGGCAGCAACAGGAAACCAATACAATTAGTAAATGTGTTTTGAGGGCCTGCGGTATTCCAGGCCCCAAGCCAGCCTACAGGATGTAGGGTGAATGAAACAGTCACTATACCTGCCCTCAGAGAGTTTGTAGGCAAGCAGGAAAAGACGTAAAAAGGCAGTTTCAGTGCAGGGAGGGAGCTGAGGGCTGTGGGAGCAGAGAGGAGGCCCCTCACTTGGGCTTGGAGGCCGGGGAGACAGTAGGGAATGGCAGGGATTGTGATAAACTGGAAAGCGCGTGACCTCTCAAAGCCCAGCCTTTTGTTGCCATGACAACACCAATCCATTATTGCTAGTTCCTCCCATTTCTCAACAGTAGCAAAACAACCAGATTTTTAGGTGAGATCTCCTGATTTGTAAATGTTGGCCTTTTTTTTTTTTTTTCCAGAAATCACGATGTGAGCCAGGTTAACGATCAGTTGGCTGAACTTGGTCGTCGGAGCACCAGTTTTCAATTTCTGTTCTCAGCACACGGTGTTCTGCCAAGCCCCAACTTCTCCATGGGGAAGACCACTGTGTGCGGCCTCTGGGAGGCCCTCAGGCCTGGGGGTGGGGAGGAGACCCGGTCATGCCACCTCCTCCAAAAACGCTCAGCGGTGGAGGCCACAAGCTTCACATCCCTATGTTGCCGCCTCTCGGGAGCCTGCAGCCTTGCTGAGCCTGCCCGGTCCATCACATCTAATATGGGTGTCAGCATAAAGTAAATTAAATCCGCTAGGCTATAATTTGCGAACGAAACATTTTGTGGCAGTAACTAAACGGAGCATTACATTTTAATCAGCTTTTTAAAATGTTGTTTTAAAAATCATTTTATTGTGCAGAAGCTGGTACCCTAAGCGCTATAATTCCTTAACTAACAGTATGCTAATGCACTCCCCTCCAGTCTAGACTGTCTTACCAGTGCAAGCATATGTCTTGGTGCTCTTAAACCTATATATTTTTACAGTAGATGTGCCACACTGCTTTCCAGTTACTCAAATGGGGACCCCCAGCAGTGGCTTCTCTGGAGGGATTGCCTTTCACCCTGGTTTTGAAAGAGAAACAGGATGATTGATCTTTCTTTCATTTTATCTACTGATCTGTCTATCAACAAGCACTTATATACTGCTAAGTATTTTGCAAATATTAGCCTGATGAATTCTTCTCCTAACACCTTGAAGGAGGTGTTATTCTTATGTCTTTTTTATTTTTTAAATTTATTTTTAAAAAAGATTTTCTTTATTTGACAGGGAGAGAGTGAGCACAAGCAGGGGGAGCAGCAGAGGGAGAGGGAGAAGCAGGTTCTCCGCGATTGATCAGGGAGCCGGATGTGGGACTTGATCTCAGGATCCTGGGATCATGACCTGAGCTGATGGCAGACGCTTAACCGACTGAGCCACCCAGGCGCCCCTTCTTATCTCTTTTTTAAAGGTGAACAAATTGAGGCACAGAGAGGTGAAGATCACACAGCTGGTAAGTGATGGAGATGGGAGCCTGGCTCTGAAAACTGTTCTGAACTATCCTGCCGAGCTGCCTCTTCTTTCTGCCTGAAGCCCCCAGCTCATCCATCTTTCTGCTACTCCTGGCTCATCTCCTAGGTATTTATTTATTCCTTTGTTTTATGAACATTAAGTGTCTGCTCTGTGCTAGGCCCTATATCAAATGCTGGGGACCCCACACTGAGGTGTCCTGATGTCTCTGCCAACAGGTGCTACTGTCCGGAAAGGAACACAGCTGAGTAGTCAAGTACCACCCTCCCTTGAGAAAAAAGAATTGCAGCCAGCCCTGTGACAGGCTACGAACGAAGACCCTTGTTAGAACAGAAAAAGGTGTCCATTGCTCCAGCCATTTTACTGCCGTCCTGGGAAAACGGTCACATAAGGATTCATATCTCTGACGGAATGGCGTTCGGAGCAGGGGCCTGCCCAAGTCTGGAGGAAGGGCCAGAGACACTATGTGCTGGCAGTTGACATTTGAAGGCTGAGTACAAATGAGTGGCTGAGAAGAGCGCTGGGTGGCTCCGTGCCGGCTGGCTTAGCTAAGCTGGAGCTGAATTTCTCAGGATGCCCTTCCCTGGGTTCTCTGGGACAAGGCCGGCTCCTCCAGAACTTTCTGTGAAGTTAGGAGGGTGGAGGTGAAGCAGCTACCAGGTTACTCAGGCACTTTTCTGGCTCCCATGAGGATGCCGGCCACAGACTCAGGAAAACTGCTCACCCACACCTGCAGTCTAAGGTCAAATCCCAAGAAATCCTTTCTTGAAAAAAATCACTCTTGGGGCGCCTGGGTGGCTCAGTGCATTATGCGTCTGCCTTGGGCTCAGGTCGTGCTTCTCCCTCTCCCTCTGTCCCTCCCCTCCCCTCCCCCACTCAAGCTCTCTCTCAAATAAATAAATAAAATCTTTTAAAAAAATCACTCCTAGAGTCTCTGCCTCTCTGAGCAAAGGGATCAATGGAAGGACTAGCAAGAGGTAGGGTTAGAAGTATAAGCAAGCGTTAGATGGTGAAAAGTCATGGGGGCCATTGGAGTTTTTTTTTAATTGAGATATAATTTGCATACTATAAGCATCATCCTTTTTTTTTAAAGTACACTTTTAAAGTGTACAATTCGGTTGTTTTCAGCACATTCATAAAATTGTGCAACTATCACCACTATCTCATTCCAGAACATTTTCATCACCCCAAAAAGAAACCCCATATCATTAGCAATCACTCCCCATCCTTTCCTTCTTTGAGCCTCTGGAAACTATTAATCTACTTTCTGTCTCTTTGAACGTGCCTGTTCTAGACATTTCATATAAATGGACTCATACACTACGTGGCCTTTTGTGTCGGATTTCTTTCACTTAGCATAACGCTCTCAAGTTTCATCCAAGTTGTCATATATATTGGTACTTTTTTTTATTTTAATCTTCATGGATTTGCATGTCATCCATGTGCAAGGACCATGCTGATCTTCTCTGTATTGTTCCAATTTTAGTATATGTGCCGCTGAAGCAAGCACTATTAGTATTTTTTAAAAATCGCTGAATAATATTTCATTGCATGGACATACCACATTTTGTTGATCCATTCATCTGTTAATGGATGCTTGGCTACTTCTTGGCTGTTATAAATAATGCTGCCATGAACACTGGCACATACAAGTTTTGTGTGGACACCATATGTTTTCAAATCTCTTGGCTATACACCTAGAAGTGAAATTGCTGGGTCATATGGTAACTCTGCGCTTAATTTTTTGAGGAATTGCCAAACGTTTCTGCAGTGGCTGCACCATTTCACTTCCCCACCAGCAAAACAGAAGAGTTCCAATCCCTCCACATCCTTGCCAACATTTGTTTTTGTCTTTTTTATTGTAGCCAGCCTAGTGGGTATAATCTGTGGTTTTGATTTACATTTCCCTAGTGACTCATGATGTTGAGCATCTTTTCATGGGCTTATTGTGCCTTTGTATACTTCTCAGGAGAAATGTCTATTCAGATCCTATGGCCATTTTAAAATAGATTTATTTGCATTTTTTGTTGATTTGTAAAAATTCCAATATTCTGATACTATATCCTTATCATTTATGTGGTTTACAAATATTTTCACTTTCTTGATGGTGTCCTTTGGAGCACAGAAGCTTTAATTTTGATGAAGTCTAATTTATGTTTTTCTTTTGGTTGCTTGTGCTTTGGTGTGATATCTAAGGAACCATTGTCTAATCCAAGGTCATGAAGATTTATACCTACATTTTCTTCTAAAAGTTTTTGCTCTTTTGAGGTCTTAGATCAATTTTCAGTTAATTTTTGTATATGGTGTGAGGTTGGGGTATAAATTTATGCTTTTGCATGTGGAATATCCAGTTGTCCCAACACCATTTGTTGAAAAGACTAAACTTTCCCCCGTTGAATTGTCCTCGCACCATCATTTGAAATTATTTGACCATAAATATGTAAGTTTATGTCTGGACTCTCAATTCTATTCCATTGAACTATATGTCTATGTGTACGGCAGTCACTGAAAGGCTTTAGACAGAGGAGGGGTGTAGAAAAAAGAGGAGGAGCCACTCATCTCCCAGTGGATCTGTTGTTCCTGATTCTAGATCCTCCAGGCTCTGGTGGCATTTTTTTAAAGATTATATTTATTTATTTATTTATTTTTTTAGAGAGTGCAAGTTGGCGGGGGGGGGG